TCCTTTAATTTCATCCCCACTACAGACCTAGGAGTAGGTTGTGGCCACGAGGAGGTAGGCTGAGGGAGGGTACACCAGGTTGCTCAGCTAACAGAAGGTGCAGAGCCAGGCGCACAGAATGTTTCCAGAATGCTGGCGAGGGGCTCCCCTGGCTTCTGGATTAGCCCCGCTGATCACCCAGAATGAGGACCACAGGTCTCACCTTGCACGTTGGCTGCATGCGCCAGGAGGCTTTTCCACGGCGCTGACCTCTCTCTTTTCTTTTCCCAATAGGCTGTGTGAGGGCGTTGGCTCCGTGAATGTCTGTAAGTAGCTCAAGCCTTTCCCCCTCTCCCGCTGGGGTGGTGCCAAGGCCTTTGGGGAGGGGGCATTTTCCTTGCCCCAAAGCCGCCTGGCTGTGGCTGTGCCTGATGCGCCTCTGGGCCTGTTCTCCCCTCATTCAGGCGTCAGCAGCTCCCGCGGTGGCGTCGTCTGTGGCGATCTCTGCGCAAGCGGTACTGCCCCTGCTGTCACCACCAGCGTCTGTAGCGCCCCCTGCTGCGGCAACATGGTGGTGGGCACCGCCAACGCCTGCGGCGGGGGCTGTAACAGGTGCTAGGAGGCTGCGGCCTCTGCCAGCGCGCATCGCCCGCACTGTCTGCCCAGCCGGGACCGCGCAAAGCCGGGACGCCCCTCGCGCTGCGGCCCCGCGCATCGCCCAGACCCGGCCACCAGCTGCGCACGCTCCGCACGTCCTCCCTGGCTGCCCCCTCCGTGTGCCACCCCCAGGCGCCCCAAGCCCCAGGGAGGCGGGGGCAGCGCCTTGGTCTCCTTCTGTAGCCTTTCCAAGTAGTCCATTTGTTTTCCTGAGGATTCATCCTTTCTTCTGCCTCCTGTTTCTTTGCTGGATTCATTGTCCTGCTTGACCCCTTCACACGAGCTTGGAGAGCAGGGCAGGCCCTGGAACCCCCCTGTCCGCACCTCCTGGGAATGCGCCAGTGTGCTTGGGCCTGTGGGGCTGAGCCGGGGGACACTGGTGGTGGTTTCCCTGTAACTCTGTGAGGGCTGCCTGCAGAAGCTTCTAAAAAGCCAGTGACTCAACTGCCAGCAACTTTGTTTCACTCTGTGTTTCTAATAAACTAATTGTAGCTAATCAAACCTGGTTCCTCGGAGTCTTGAAAATGCCGGGGCCCTCCTGTGAGCGGTGCTGCCTGCCAGAGATTTCCTCAGGACCTCTCCACCCGCTCGGTTGTTTTTCGGCAGGTGAAAATGACTGCAGCACGTGCTGCCCTTCTGGCTTGAGCAACCCAAGCCCTGGGAAAGCAGAAGACTAGGGAGGCAGGGCATCTTGTGTGATCATGGTTTCTCCAGACTAGACCAAGCTTTCTCAGCTTCAACCCTGTTGACACCTTGGGCCGGAGGAGTCTTTGTGGTGGGGCTGTCCTGAGCACTGCAGGATGTTTAGCAGTATCCCTGGCCTCTACCCACCTGATGCCAGTGGTGATCCCCCAGCGACAACCAAAGATGTCTCTATGCGCCCTAGGAGTTCCCAACCAGGGAGATTTTTGCCCCCTCCCCGCCCAGGGGCATTCCTAGAGGGGGAAATTACATGAAGGAACATGTGGCGGTAAGAATGGAAGGAAGGCACTTGAAAAGCAGTGTGGGGAGGGTCCGGGGACCTGGGCTGATTCAGTCCTGACTGCCATTTCTCAAACGTGTGACTTTGAGCAAACTGCTTCTGTCTTCTGAGCTTGTTTCCTGGTCTGTAGAATGAAGGGGGTTGAATCATATCCCTAAGGTCTCCTCTGGTTCCCTAGGTGAGACTATGTATTTAAAAGGGTTTTGTTAAGGAGCAGCCCCTACCCTTATGCTTGAGAGAGTGCACCCAAGGAAGAGCCCCAGAATGTCACCTCCACCACATTCTATTGGTCAGAGCTGCCACAGGACCAGCCCAGATGCCAGCGCAGGGGAAATAGGCTCCACCTTTGAATTGAGGCATGACATAGATGGAGTGGGGGAGAAGTGGGGGCCATTTCTGAGAGAGCTATCACAGGAGGATAAGTGAGACAATACAAATAAAAGTTTAGACTATAGTGTGGCACATTATTGACCTCAAAATTGCTATATACCATTGTTGTTACTGTTACTATGCTATCACAGCAGCACAGACTTCCTAGGCTCTGAATTAGCAGGAGGCAGAGTGGGATGGTAGAGGAGCACTGAGGGCTGGAAGTCTAGAATCTTAGATTCGCATCCTGGTTTGGTCACCAGGAGTGTGTGGTGAGGTCTCTTCAGGTTTTGAAACCTCAGTTAGTTTATCCACATTTTGGGGTGACAAGTGGCCTACTAAAGGAGCAAGCCCTTCAGCTGCTGTGCAGAACAGATGCTGAAGGACCATTGCTCATCTTTGACTCTTTTCTTCCCTTATATGAGCTCAAATTCGTATAACAGCACTTGGTACATATTAAGTACTAAGTAATCATTTCCAATTGAATAAATGAACTCCTTCTTTTAGGTCTGAGCTTCAATATTACTTCCTTGAGGAGGTAACGAGCTTTCCCTGGTTAGTAATCCTCCAACTGTGTGCAACCTAGTACCGAGGCCCAGGCCTCTTTGCAACCACACCTCTCCTTGATGAAGAGGTGGCTGTGGGGCAGAGGAGGTAGGGCCCAGGTACTCAGGACAGGAGGTTCTAATAGATGCAACATTGGTCTTGCTTGCTCCCTTGAGCTGGTAGGGTGGAAGGAAGGCTCATCACTCCAGAGGCATGGAACCCCCCTGGGCTCCCCCAGGTGACATCTTGATGACCTCCCAAGGCTGGCAGTCTTTATGGTGTCCTCTTAAGTCCCTGGAAGGGAGTATTATAATCCCAGAGCTGAGCTCAGAGTCATTTCCTAGGAAAGTCAGAACTGAAAAGACCCTTTCAAAGGCTCTGGCCCAGTCCTCATTTGACAGGTGTTCAGGGCACCCTGAGCTAGAGCAGGGGAAGGGGGGGGGCAGCGGGGAGTGGAAGAGGCACTGAGACATCAGTCAGAGCCAGGCATGTAGGACTGGTGTGCTATGTTCAAGGGCCCAGACTTCATCCTGAGGGCAACGGAGGCCCCCTGGAAGGTTAGACTTGGGTTTTGTAGAGATCTCTTGCTGCTGTGTAGTGTGGGTTGGAAGGGGAAAGAGCAGGGCTCCAACCAACATGGTGGTGGCTGGGCTGTGGGAGGTAACAGCAGGGAGAGAGGAAAGAGATGGATGAGGGGGATACTTAGGAGGCAGAAAAAAGAAAGCACCAGGGGTTAATTAGATTTGAGAGCAAGGGTACTAGCATAGATTGTAGGTTTAGATGTGGGCAGCTGTGTTGATGACCTTGACAGGGGAAATAGAGGGAGCCTTGGGTGGAGAAGGTGGGAAATAGTGAGTTTGGCTTGAAGGCCTGTTCGGTTGGGAGGGTCTCTAGGACTCCCCAGTGGAGATGTCCTGTAGCAACTGGGCCGGGTGGGTCTGAAGCTGAGGAGGGAGGTCAGGGCAGCAGGTGAATCATCAGGACTCTGAAGTACAATTTGAGGGACAATTTGAACCAGGGAGGACGCTAACGATGGTGGTACCTAAGGAGCAGAGCTGCCTGGGAAGAGCTGAGAGCCTGGCCTGTCGAACAACAAAGTGAAAGGCCTGAGATTCTGGGGTTAGGCAATGGGGAGGGAGAGAGGGGGACAGGTGAGGGCCAAGAGGGCCCTGGAGATTCCAGGAGGGAGGGAGAGAGGTGGTTGGGTCCTCCTAGGACAGCATGGTGACATGGATAGAAAGGTCAGGGCTGGAAGAAGGCTGGTCAGCACTGGGGCTGAGGTAGGGCTGGGCAAAGGAAGGAGAGAAGAGGGCCAGTGAGAAGGAAACGGACTGCACAGGAGGGGGCTGGGCCTGAGGAGGGCGATTCCATGCCTGGTTCTTCCCGAGTGGAGTTAGGAACTTCTCTATGTTTTCCTCCTGGGAGATCCCAGCCTCTTTCTGAGCAGAGGACAGGAGAGGTCAAGCCATGCAGGGGCAGAGGAGCCATCTTAGCCTCGGGGGCGAAGCTCTGAGGAATCTGGGGTAAGGGTAGCGAGTGGGGCAGTTGAGAAAGCGGGGAGATGGTGGGGGAAGTAGCCCCTCCTACCAGTTAGGAGCTTTCGAGGAGGCCGTCCTGGGGGCTGAAGAGGTGTGCGTATGAGTGTGTGTTCGCGTGGGGGAAATAGTGAGCAAAGGGTGGGTGTCAAGGGTCTCATCTCCCTTGTTTGATGGGCAGTAGTGGACGTGGGTGGTGTGGGGTCCGGACTGACACAGCGTGGCCATCTGAGGTGGCTGTTGGCACTTCTGGAGGTTGCTGCCGTGTGCATGTGTGCGGTGGAGTTGGTGGAGGTATGTGTGTGTGGGGGGGATTAAAGCCACACACACACACACACACACACACACACACACACACACACTCATACGCACACACTCACACACTCATACTACCTTCAGAAGATTCCATGGCCTCCTCTGGCTCCCTTCAAAACCAGCCAGAGGAACAAGCCTCAAGTCTCAAACTACCCCAGACTGATAGCTGTGACTTAGGGGACGGTGCTGTGAGCACAGTCAGCACTGCCTGGCCAGGGGGATGGCGCTATTTGGGGACAGGTTGGTCTGTGGGTATGCAGGTTATGACAGGCCCGAATGACCCCAGTCCTCAGGTTATCTCGCTGGGCTGGGCTGCTCACCAGCCAGTGGACATGGGCTCACTCTGAGAAAGCAAGACATCACAGCACAGAGAGCGGGTCCCCAGTTTATTGGAAAAATGAAGGACAAGGGGCCAGAGAGGTAAGGGAGGCAGCCCAGCAGGGCTCCTTCCGGGGAAGGAGCCCTCAGAGGAGACGGCAGAAGAGAAGTGTCCATTCCGAGCAGCAGCCCTTTCTGGTGAGACAAGGTGAGCAGAGCAGTAGCCGCAGGGCGTATTCTCAGAACACAGGGGGAAAAGCTACCGGGGTGCTACTGTTTTCAGCTGGGGGTGGGGGCAGTGACACATTTGGCAGGCGGGAGAGGCTTCTCTGGCTCTCTTTTGGGGCAGCCTAACACCTCCCTAGGCCGCAGGAGCCCCCCCCACAGGTGGTGTTGAGCTGGCAGCAGGGTGCGCACATGCCGGTGCTCACGGCCAGGTTCCCGCTGCAAGGCGCAGTGCAGGGGCTGCCCGTCACCGGTCGGGAGCCGGACACGCAGAGGTCCCCACAGACGACTCCGCCCCGGGAGCTGCTGACACCTGCGAGAGAACAAAGGCTGGGTCAAGAGGCCTGGCTGGTGGCCACGTCCTCCAGCACCTTCCTTTGGCCTCTGTGCTGTGTCCAGCCTGCCAGGGAAGGCCCAAAGGAGCCTGAGTTCTAGTTCTGAAGGTGTGGAAGGAACCATAGCCTGGGAGCCGGGAGCCTTGGGTTTCCTGGCCCTGGTTCTACTTTGTGACCTTAGGCAAGCCCCTTCCTCTCTCTGGGCTTCCTCACCTGTACAAAAGGTGGGGGGTTCATACTGAGTGATATCTAAGGTCCCTTCCTACAGTGACATATTATTATTCGTTTTCTCCTCAACTCCATTTATGCTGTGAGGTTCTTCCAGCAAGTTAACTTCAGTCTCTCCTGGTGCATGATCAACCTATTCTTATTTACTGAGGGAATTACTGGAAACACTCTTCCCAGTGTCTATATACATTCATATCCAGGAAATTCTTGTCCAATCTAAAGTTTCCTTTTTGGGGGCCTGTGATACTTACAGACATTCACAGATCCAACACCTTCACACAGCCTGAGTGGGGAAAAGGCAAGAAAGGGGAAGAGAAAAGAGATCAGAACGACATCCTTGATTTTCCCTAGGTGATGGAATGGACGATATCTATGCATTTGGGGACCTTTAAACAGTGTCTTTCTGGCAGTTGCAGCGACACCAGGGCACACTATTTGACAAGCAGAGTACAGGCTGGATTTCAGCTTTCACTTACCCTCACCTGTCTGCCTTTGTTCAGTACACAGCCTGAACAACCATACCTGCCAAGTGTGTATGGCTTCGGTTTTAGTAATGGGAAGGTTCTCTTGGGCAGTGACATGAGGCCAGGGTTAAATTTGGCCAGCAACTCCACCTTAGGGCAAGGTGACCTACTAGAAACGAGGGGGGAGAGTGGATCTTGGGAGACTGAGGGGGGAATAACTGAAGGATGTTCTGAGCTGAGAGGCAGGGTGCCTAGGTTCTAATCCTAGCAAGGCCTGGTGCTGTTTGGGACACTAGACATCCCAGTGGCACTGGCTTTTGTTTGTCCTCTGTATGCCATGTCCAAGCTCCAGTCCTTTGAAATCCAGGATCCAAAGATCCCAGAATCTAGCTTGGGGCCAGTTCTTGGGACTGAGACTGAGATATGGAGGAATCAAAGGTGGGTGGAACTATGCATGTGGGGCAACTGGGGTGGGCCCCACCTCTGCTCCTCGCCCTCCAGCAGGCGCCTGTAGGTGGCGATCTCGATGTCCAGGCCCAGCTTGGAGTTCATCACCTCCTGGTACTCCTTGAGCAGGCAGGCCATGTCCTGCTTGGCCTTCTGCAGGGCGGCCTCCAGCTCAGCCAGCTTGCAGCGGGCATCGCTGATGGCTGTCTCACCCTGCTGCTCCGACTGGGTCACTGCAGCCTCCAGCTTGGTGTTCTGAGGACCCAGAAGAGAACAAGGTGGGTTACGGTCCACAGGTCTCTCTGTCCATTTCCTGAGTGTATCCAGTCTCTCCCACCCAGCTGGAAATACTCAGGAACAGGCCTGTCACCTTCATCACCTGGGTCTCCCTGACTGACCACACCTGTGACTCTAGTCATGCAGATGGTTTAGAGAATGAATGGAGAAGTCTACACTGCCTGTGGGACCCTGACTAGGCCCCCAGCCCCTCTGGTGGTCCAGGGCAGAGATGACCGTACCTGGCACTTGGCGTTCTCGACTTCGGCAGTCAACCTCTGGATCATGCGGTTCAGCTCGTTGATCTCCTCCTTGGTGCGGCGCAGCATCTCCCCGTGACGGATCACTGTGGCTTTCATCTCCTCACACTGGGGGGAAGCAGAGACTCAGGATGTTACCTGCCGTCCATTCAGGACACCACAGATGACAGTGCAGGCTGTCCAGTGCTCAGCCTGTGCAGCCATCCATGGCACCTTGCCCTGTCCCCTCAGCCTGAGAGCTGTCTGGCCTTCCTTCACCGTCTCTAGGGATCAGAATCCCCAGACAAAAGAAGCCTTTTGTAACATACAGGTCCCATCCCTGCCACTGGCATGTCTAGGAGGCAGGTGTCCTGTGCCACTGACCTTGGTGCGGTACCAGGACTCGGCCTCAGCCCGGCTGCGGCTGGCGATGTCGTCATACTGAGCCTTGATCTCGGCAATGACGCAGTCCATGTTCAGGTCCCGGCTGTTGTCCATCTTGACGACGACCGAGGTGTCTGAGATGTGGGCGTGGAGGACGCGGATCTCCTGTGGGGCAGGAGTAGGGGAAGAGGAAGAACAGCCAAGTTGTCTGAGCTTTTCCTCCCCTGCCAAGATGCCTATCATCTCTTTGGCCCATTAGGACCCAAAGTCTCTTGTTTGGAGAGAAAATCCCAGATGAAATTGCATAACTTTTTGTCCAGATTAAAAAAAAAAAAAAATCCCTGTTAGGAGAAAATGCAACTACTTCTCAAATGCTTGTTTCTGGGATTGTTCAGGCCTGTGTGAGCCTAGGCAGCTCCCCTCCAGCCAGCAGGCATCTGGGCTTCCCCTGGGGCCAGACCCTGTGCGGGAGCCACGGACCACATCGAGGGAGGCTATGGGCTGCCTGAGAAAATCTGGGCTGGAGAACATGGGGTTGAGGCTGCGCGATGCTTCACATGGCCTCAGCTTTGGATTCCCAAGACACAGATTGTCCTGGAGACCACACTCTCTTGCCCCTTACTACTTTTGTCCCTTTTGGTTCTCTTCTGTCTCCTCTCCTCCCTCTTCTTGCCCCCCTCCAACCCTCCAGGCTCAGCTGGCCTGTAGCGTCTGGGCAGGGGTCGGGGTGCCTGCCGTGGCTGAGAAAGCCCCTCACCTCCTCATACAGTCGCCGCAGGAAGTCGATCTCCTCGGTCAGGGCCTCCGCGTTGGCCTCCAAGTCTGACTTGCGGAGGTAGGCGCAGTCCACGTCCTGTGTGGGTTCAAGGGGCCATGAGGCCAGCGTTCCTCAGGATGCTCTGAGGGTTGGCTGCCAAGTGGCAGGGCAGAGAGGAGGGGATGGCCCGGGACTGAGGGCGGGGCTTGGCCTCAGGCACTCACCTTCTTTAAAGCCACAAACTCATTCTCCGCTGTGGCCCGAAGTGCGACTTCTTCTTCATACCTGAGGTGGGCAAGGAGAACAGGGCCCTGCCTGAGTGGCGCTCAGCCTGGCCGTGGAGCAGGCATGCAAACATGCCTTTTGCCTAGGTCTGCCCCGGCCTGTGCCCCTGCCTCCAAAAGAAATGGGGCATCACAAGGAAGAAGGCAGGCTGCTGGTCCAGGCCCACTGGGATGCACCGTAGGACTGAAGCACCCACTCTCACATCACCTCTGAGCTCTCCGTGGGGACGGAGCGGGATCTGGAAGCTGTGTGTGTGTGTGTGTGTGTGGGGGGGGGTAGGCCATGGAAAATGGCTGTTTTTCTCACCCAGGCCTCTATTTACCTTTCCCCTGACCCTTCCTCTTGCCCCTGGCTTTGGGATCCCCTTTCTGTCATTCTCCTCCTGGGCTCAGCCAAGAGGAGTCAAGCCCGCCACTCCCTGCTCCGTGGCAGGCCAGCTCCGAGCCAGCAGCAGGGCATGTGGTGGCCTGGGAAGTCCATGGCTGAGAGCCTTCTGGAGGAAGCTGGCCAGCCCTGGAAACCAGATGCTTCAGAGTCCTGGTGTGCGCCCTTCATAGCATGTATCACATGGTAACTGAAGGTCTATCTGTAACTACACCATCCTGCCTCCCAGCAGACTGTAAGCTCCACAAGGACAGGGATTATGTCTCCTGGTTGCCCCTGAATCTCCAGACCCCAGTATGGCATCTAGCTGGCACCTGGTAGGCACTCAGAAAGCTTGAGCTGAGTGAAGGAGTAAAGCTAAGAAGAATGGTCATGGCGTTGAGGGCTGGGCTCAAAGGGACCAGGAATGTTAACTTTTCTGGGGTCTTAAGAGAAGGGTCTGGTGGATGGAGAAGGAAGAGAACATATTTCCCTGAGCTGCTGATAGGAAGCTAAGGAGAGCTCCACCCCTAGGGGGCCAGGACCCACCCGAGGGACTGTGTGCCTTGAGGAGACAGAATGTAGGTTCTCCCTGTCCTCAGGCAGAGAACCAGCCACAGACTTGGTCACATTCCTGTGCCGGGGGCCTCCTTCAAGCCCTTCCCTGAGCCAGCCCCTTCCTGAAGCACTCACTTCTTCTTGTAGCCCTCCATCACCTCCTGCACGTGGTTGAGCTCTGAGGCCAGCCTCCCACTGTCGGCCTCCACGCACTCGGCCTCCCGCCTCAGCGTCTCGATGTAGCCCTCGAACAGCGGCTCCAGGTTGCTCTCGCAGCACTTGCGGTTCTGGTAGTACTGAAACTTGGTCTCCAGCAGCTTGTTCTGCTGCTCCAGGAAGCGCACCTGCCGCCCAGAGGCAGAGCCTGAGAATCTCTTCTTGCAGGATCAGAGGGCAAGAGGAGGTCCCAGCACCAGGACCTGCAGGCCCCCAACTCTCTGATCGAGTCCTCCCTGGTGGGGGTTAGGGCATCTCTCAAAGTCACACCAGGGCTTAATCAGCTCACCACCCGAAGTCCTTCTTGTGAGCTAACTTTAGTCTTTTTAAGGCAATTTACCTAGTGTCCTGAAAAGCGCTAAACCATGCTGAGTCCAGACTCTGCTGCTGCTTGTTAATAACATGTCCTCGAGCACAGCACTTAACCCCTCTGCAGAGTGATTGCCTCACTATGAGCGTTTAATGAGCTCTGGTACCAAAAGGCACCTGTTCGCCCAACAGCTGCTACACCAAGGCAGGTGTGATTGTCAGCATGCAGATGAACAGTTTGACCCTTTTGGAAAGGCAGACTATAAAAGTTGAAAAATAAAGTATGTGCCAATTATTGAACCCCTACAACAACAATGCAATTAGAATAATAGTCACCTGGGATATTAGTGCAAGAATGCTCTGTGCTCCAGGCCCCTTATTTTACAGCTGAAGGATCCAAGTGATCGCCTGCCTGAGATTTCACATGGCAGAGGAAGCAATTTAACTCTGAACTGCTGCCCTGCAGGGGGGTGCGTCTCTCACTATAGTAATTATTGACCATTGGGCCCAAGGAAAATTTCACATCCACCTCCCTGCCAGGAGGTTGGCCCACTCTCCCACTTAGATCCCTTTGTCTAATAACTGCCACACCCCTGGTAAGTCCTTTCTTATGTTATCCTTGGTCTCATGCTGTTAGCAGTTCCAGATTTTTTTCATCCTTCCTGGTGGGTATCTCTCTAGCATGACTTCTCTAGAGGCTGGCTCTGGAGTGCTCTCTTTGGCCCAGAACTGCTTCCTCCTTGGAAACTCCCCCCTCCCCGCTCCACCCCAGCACCACTGCCACAACAAGGTGGCTGCCTGGATTCAGTGGAGAAGACAGCTTCAGACTTGAGCTGGACACTGACATCTACAGATGGTTTCAACTGTGCCTGCTTCCCCACAGGGCCCGGAAGAGTGGGAACTGTATCTATTGCTAACCCCTGGGTCCCCAGCCCCGGGCACAGTGGTCTGGACAAACCATTCTGGCCCCTGCTCAGTTGCTAAGTAGCCACTGGTATGGAAACAGCTCTGTGTGATCCACGGCATTCTCTCCAGGCAGTCTCCTGGTATTGCACTCACTAGTCCTGCCCTGGACGTAGGGAGCACCTCCTTACCATGTAAGCAACAATTTGGTTTCTTGTCCATCGCCTTAACCACTCGGCCACGACTACTGGCAGCAATTTGGCTTCAAGCACATCGATTACCCACACGGTGGCCCTTTGCTCACAAGAAGCTGTCTCTCAGCCCTACAGGTCCTGCCCCTAGTCCACTCATGTGTTTTCAGTTTGTCCCAAGCATCAGACTGGCAGCTCTTGGTCTTATTCTTGTTTTTCTTTTTGTGTCCTAGAGGTCTATTTGTCTCTCCTTTGGACTGGGAGCTTCTCTTGGTAAAACCTGCCTCTGACTTCCCCTCAGAGCCCAGCCTGATCCTGCACACGGGTGGCGTTCAGGACGGGTGTGATCAAGGACACCCACCTTGTCGATGAAGGCGGCGAACCTGCTGTTGAGACACTTGATCTGCTCTTTCTCCTCGTGCTTCACGCACTGCGCCTGGGGGTCGATCTCCAGGTTGAGGGGCGTGAGCAGGCTCTCGTTGACCGACACGGTGGTGATGCAGGGTGGGCTGGGCCCGCACACGCCGCCCGAGCGGTATCCGAAGCTGCGGCCGCAGGATCCGGAGCGGAAGGCCCCACAGAGGCTCTGGCTGCCGAAGCCCCCGGTGAGGCCGCGGTAGCAGGAGACGCCCCGGTAGGGGGCGGCCGTGATGCAGCAGCGGCCGGGCCGCGGCCCGCAGGCCGAGGCGCAGCTGAAGTTCCTGGGGCCAAATCCACAGCCCATGGAGTTGAAGCCACAGGTCATGCTGGAGATAGGGAGGTGTCCGAAGAGTGGAGAAGCTGGCAGGGGATGGAGCCAAAGGCCTGTGCTCCCTGGGCTGTGGCAGGTCCTTTTATGCACCAGGGCAGCTGGCATTAAAAGGGACAGCAAAGAGACAATAGCTACATTTTATTGGCTTGGCATCACCCTGGGCTCTTAAGAGCCAACCCGCTTGCCTCTTCAGTGTAGCTGTGTCAACAATCCCCAGCCACGGGCCTGTTTCATCTTCAAAGCCCTTTACAAGCTTCCTCCTGGTCTCTCCCCACCCATGAGGATGTGGAGACGTGAAGAGAGAAGGGCTCCTGGAAGCATCAGTTGGATTCCATGCTTCGACATAGGGAGTGGGTACAGTGACTTGGGGTGGAGCCTGCTCCCCAATCCTTTCCTGGAAGGGGCACAGTCGGGCTATGGGCTCTGACCCTATGACCTGGCTTCAGATGGAGCAGTTGGCCTGCCCCAAGGAGGGCCCGTGTCCCAAACAACCTCTTGTTCTAGGCTCTTTGCCTTCCCTCTCTCTCTAAAGATTACTCCTTTCTTCAGTGTCAGTATGAGCCTCTCCTAATCTGTTCCTACCTAGAGCCCAATCAGGGATGGGGATGGGGAAGAGATTTGGGAGGGAGCATGGTCTCTGCTCTTTGGGTATCCCTAGGAAGACAGAAGCCATGGACATCAGCTGGGACATGGCAGACATGGAATCAGCATTCAGAAGAAAACCAGGGCCTTTCTTCAGAGTCCTGGGCATCGTTGCCAGTGGGATAGGTTTAGGAGTGGGAGTGTGGAATACCCCAGAGCTAGAGGGCTTAATCAGGGAAGGCTTCTTGGAGGTGGGTTTAAGGAGGACCTGGGTGGGGATAGACGTGGGAGGAGAACCGAAAGGAGTCCAGCCTTGATTTGGAGATTAGACTGTGTGATCAGTCATTCTCTCATTCATTCAGTAAATTCTTACCGAGTGCCAACTATTCAGGAGACACTTGCTGGATTCTGGGAATCTGCAGAGACCTGAAGTGTTTGGAAGTAGGGGATGGTGGCATGCACACAGAGTGTCAACATTTGGCCAATGGGGAAGGGGGAGAAGCGGCAGGTGAAGGGAAGGCTGAGATGCCCAGGCTGTGTTGGGGTCTGATGTGGGGGTGTGAGAGTCCTTTGGGTTCCCAGCAGGGAAGTCGAGCAATGAATATGGAGTGTACACACTCATTAGGAAGGGTGAAAGGTTGGTGATGGGTTGGGGGAGGTCACCAGGGTCCTAAAATGGCATCACTTCCTCCCCTACAGGACCCACTGGTGAGAGAAGGTAGGGGCTCATGTGGCTGTCCTTCAGTCAAACTCCCTTAATTTGCTCCTTCATTCATTTGGGCCAGGACTGTGATGGCTTTGATGGGTGGAGAGTGGGACTAAGCCAGGAAGTTCCCTGAACCTGAGGATCTGAGTCCATAAACTCTTCCAAGCACATGTCTCTTGACCGCCTTTGAACCTAAGGATGACTCCTTGGGCCTGTTTCCTGACCAGCCATGAGCAAATGCTGACCCAGTCTAGCCTAAAAATAGCCCTTTGCTCATCCTTCCAGGGCCTCCCTACTCCCTCTCAGGGTGAGTGGCCAGTTATATCGTAGAGTGAGGGAGGACCCCTCTTTTCTGGGAGGGCAGGTGATGCTGCTATGGACATCTGTCAGGGAGCTGGGCAACCTCTGCATGGATTTTAAAGAAAGGACACTCCCAGCCCTCCACTTGGGACCAATGGATAGATTTGCACAGACTCTTGTTTCTGGGATGGGAACTCTGTGGGTGTGGCCTGTGGGCTTCTGGTGTGAGAGACACACAAGGAGGCAAGGCCTGGGGGCTGGGGTGGGGGGAACTGATTGCAGCTGAATGGTTGGTGGGATTTTTGGAGCATTTATGGAAGGGTTGGCTGGTAGGTACTTTCATGCTAAGCCTTTGCTGGGTCAAACATCTGCCAGACATTCAGGAAAGAAGCAAACCTTTCTCTCCTCTTGGCTCAATCCACATTGGAGCTGGTAAGCACCTGGAAGGTTCTCAATCCATGTCCAAGGATTTTTTTCTTGGTAAAATGCTGAAGATGCAAGTGGTGAATTCTTTATAAAAATTGTCTATCACAGCTCTGGTCATTGTGCCTCTGTCTTCTGACCCCACTCACTTCTCAATCCAGTGAGCTGGATCATTGAGCGGTACCCTTCACTGAGGGTCTCTGTGAAGACACACCCACCTCCTTGGTTTTGGAGGGAACCATGAGTGCGCCCAGGCCCCTGCTGTGGTTGGAGATGATGGAAGCCTGGAGATAAAAAGGCATGGTTTGAAGCCCAGCTCTGCCACATACCAGCTTTGGAACCTGGGACAACTTATGTTTCTCTAGCTTCCCTACCTGTGCAATATGAATGGCAACCCATGCCTTGCTGTGCTGTTGGGAGAGGTAATTGAGTACCTGTTGGTGGGAGGTGTCCCCTCCACCTCTCCCCCTACTGACAAGGTAACTGGTCTTGGTGACACGCAGCCAGCAGGGCCTTGCAAAGGGGTAGTGTGCACGGGCTGTGAGATGCCATCCCTGTGTGAGCACAAAACAGCCCAGAAGCTTTTACAAGGCAATCATCGCCAACTCAGAAAGCCTTAATTAAAGCGCCTATTTGTAAATGGCCCAGAACAAAGAGAATTACAGATCAGGTGAGCCCTTGAAAACAGACTTAGACAGGAAGCTGACAAAGGGACAGCAGCAGCCCGCCAGGCTGCTTCCTTCCACCTGAGCAACTGGCTGCGATGGGTTCCTGTCCTCACCATGGGCTATAAAGGTTCTGGCCGAGCCCCAGGCTGGTTCAGTTGACAAGGTCTGTGCCTTATGCCAGCCTTCACCCAGCCAGCCCGAGTCGGCCTTTAGGGCTGACTTGATCCTGCTGCTGGGAATGACCGCTCGCTTGCCCTGTCGTTCTGGTCCTCTGAGTCCGGCCTACTTCCTGGAATTGCAACCATCATGTGGCCTTACTCATAATTCTGTGCCTCTTCTCTTCTCTTCTCTTCTCTTCTCTTCTCTTCTCTTCTCTTCTCTTCTCTTCTCTTCTCTTCTCTTCTCTTCTCTTCTCTTCTCTTCTCTTCTCTTCTCTTCTCTTCTCTTCTCTTCTCTTCTCTTCTCTTCTCTTCTCTTCTCTTCTCTTCTCTTCTCTTCTCTTCTCTTCTCTTCTCTTCTCTTCTCTTCTCTTCTCTTCTCTTCTCTTCTCTTCTCTTCTCTTCTCTTCTCTTCTCTTCTCTTCTCTTCTCTTCTCTTCTCTTCTCTTCTCTTCTCTTCTCTTCTCTTCTCTTCTCTTCTCTTCTCTTCTCTTCTCTTCTCTTCTCTTCTCTTCTCTTCTCTTCTCTTCTCTTCTCTTCTCTTCTCTTCTCTTCTCTTCTCTTCTCTTCTCTTCTCTTCTCTTCTCTTCTCTTCTCTTCTCTTCTCTTCTCTTCTCTTCTCTTCTCTTCTCTTCTCTTCTCTTCTCTTCTCTTCTCTTCTCTTCTCTTCTCTTCTCTTCTCTTCTCTTCTCTTCTCTTCTCTTCTCTTCTCTTCTCTTCTCTTCTCTTCTCTTCTCTTCTCTTCTCTTCTCTTCTCTTCTCTTCTCTTCTCTTCTCTTCTCTTCTCTTCTCTTCTCTTCTCTTCTCTTCTCTTCTCTTCTCTTCTCTTCTCTTCTCTTCTCTTCTCTTCTCTTCTCTTCTCTTCTCTTCTCTTCTCTTCTCTTCTCTTCTCTTCTCTTCTCTTCTCTTCTCTTCTCTTCNCCTGGGCATGTGCCCTGACCGGGAATCATACTGTGGATCTTTTGGGTCATAGGTTGATGCTCAACCGCTAAGCCACACTGGCCGGGCATAACTGTGTTTTCCTGATGGCCTCCTGCCGGTTTGCCCGCCTGACTTCTGACCTACTGATACTTTGACTTTGGTCATTTCTTCTTGCCTGATTATCCATTGGACTTTTAATTTTGTGTTCCTTCCTAATGGACTTATGCTAAACGATTCAGTGATGAACCTTTGTCAGTGTACATCTCCACTAACTTCTTTAAATCAATTCCTGGAGGTGGAATTCCTGGAGGGGGTCCCAGGGGATAGTCCTGGCCTGGGTGTGCCTGTCTGCGAAGTGGTATTTCTGGGGGGAGAACACATGGTGAGTAGCAGGATTTGGGAGTTGGGGGTGTGGATGCAAATCCACTTCTGACTCTTATTAGCTGTGTGACGAGGTAGCTCATGGCTGTGCCTTGTCGATTCCTCTGTGAGGTGAGGGTTAGAGCACTGGCCCCAGGGCCGGGGCCACTGTGAGATGAAATGAGGGGTTACATGTGAAAGCGCACAGAAGGCTGAGAAGGCGCCCCCTCCCCCCGGGACAAGCACCTCCTGGGCCTTGGTTCTCCAACTTTCCATCTCCAGTTCTGCCTTCTGGCCTTGAACTCACAACACACTGAGGCCTATGTGCTGGATCTGATAAAATGTGGCACCTTCCGCCCTACTGGTGTGGCTCAGTGGTTGAATGTCAACCTATGAACCAAGAGGTCACCTGTTCAATTCATGGTCAGGGCTCATGCCGGAGTTTCGGGCTCGATCCCCATTAGGGGGGTGCAGGAGGCAGCCGATTGATGTTTCTCTCTCATCGATGTTTCTATCTCTCTATCCTTTTCCCTTCCTATCTCTCTAAAATCAATAAAGAACAACAACATATTTTTAAAAATGTGGCACCGTCACATACTCCCCAATTGTTTACTAAACCGCTACTATGTATTGCAGGGGTTGAGGAATTTAATACATCTCTGTCCTCAAGGAGCTGGCTGCTTAGTTGGGTAGATTTATAAACAGGCACAAGTTAAATAATAGATATAGTAACTTTTCAAGGCAGTTTATAACTGATTGTCAATTGACTGACAGTGCATCTTGTCTCAGAGTCTCAAGGCAGAGTTCCCTGTGAGCTGGTGCAGCCAAGGGAGGCTTTGTGGGGAAGGTCAGATTTGAGCTAGGCTTTGAAGGATGGAAAGGGCTTGGGAAAGGCAGAGGGTGGAGGCAGTGCCAGGTGGAGAATAGCAGGAA